CCCTTTCAAAAAGCCTGTAATTCCTTGCACAGTGATTTCTCAAAGAAACGGGTCTAAGCCTCTGGCGCACTAAGCTTTACGCGGGGCCGTGAGACTGTGAATTCCCACTTGGGAGGCTCAACTCACGAGCTTCCCCTCCCCAATCCCGGAGCCCCTACTCACAAGCACCACCTGGCCGCCCTGGCAAACCCGAAGTCTCTTTTTACTTAGATTTTTATATAAATGTCTGCGTTTCAAAGTAGCTGTTAAGCCCTCATAGAGAGCTTTATTGACGGTGCGGTTACTCTGTGTTTTCTGTATATAACCAACCACAGCAGAGCTCTCAACAAACTAGCTACTCAGAACATGAAGTCAAGCTGTAAGGCCAGCAGAAACATTTAAAAAATTATTTGTGTTTCCTTCATTATACGGGGGTAGGGGGCAGGTTCAAGAAGTTTGTGGAAAAAATTCCATTATTTTTTCATTGATTTGCTGAATGACGTCCTCTTATCTAAGGGGTTTAAAAAAAATCCCATTATAAAAATACTAAACCTGAAAGTAGAAGGGAAAAAGAAAAAGAAATCCCTAAGAATTCACAACCCAGAGATAACTACCCACCCTTGATGATATAGAAGCATTTTTTTCCAGCCCTTTCCCCCCATTTTGACTTTACATTTTCTGTTTTTCAACTTAAAGGGGGCTTCAGTGGGAAAATTCATGTAAAGTTTTGTATGTAAGCAAGTACTCATGCCATCTTAGTTCTTCAGAGAAATAGTAGCTTTCACTTTTGTTTTTGTTCTATTTTTGACAGGTTTTAAGAGTCAGTCATATAAAAACTTTATTAAATGAATTTAATTAACTTTATTTCTTGCTCTATGCTGTAGATATGAGTATTGTATGGAAAATCGGAATTTCTCAAATATTTTAAAAATCATAAAGTAGCCTGAGCCTTTTTAGAAGCAGTTGCCTGCTATCTTTGTTTCTACCTTTGCTCTTGGCATATTTATATATTTTTTATTTTAACTTGACAAGTCATAAAACATAGTTCCCTGAAAATAAGCATACATAATTTCATATTATTTTAACATTCCTCTGTGTCTATTTTTCTCCCCCACTTTGACCTTCTTTTGGGCACTTTTTCTGAGTTTTGTTATATTTGCCAGATGTTTGTCGGCTTTGTTGTACATGTGTTTTCTTCTAAAGGATCAGCTCTGGGATTCACTTACTACTTTATACTTTCTCCTAATGAAAGTGTTTGTTTGCTTTTCTGTACCTTTTCTAACATTACGAGTTGAAAGTTTTGTTTATGGCAGTATTTCTTGATATTATTTTTTAAAATTAATGCTGTGTTTCTGCTTATATCTTTGGCCAAACACTTTGGCTTGATAAATATTGTTCTTACTCTAATTATTGTCTAAACAGTCTGCTATAAAGTTATTTACAAGATTGTTTTATTAAGTTATTTAGAAGAGTGATTTACTCAGAAGAGCTATTTATTTAGAAAAAAAAAATGTTTTCAGTGGTAGGATCATTTCCACATTCTTGGTAATTTATTTATAGTGTTGCTGATTTGTACTTTACTGAGCTGAGGTTTAATACAAGCTATATAGTATCTGTATTTCAGAATTGATTTGAGACTTTTCTTATGGCCTAACATACGATACATTTTTAGAAATATTAAAGCAACTTAAAAAAAATTATATATTCTTTCTGTGGGACATGTAATTTAAATAACTGTAGCTTGGTGGTGGTGGTGGTTATGTGCCGTGGAGTCGGTTCCGACTCATAGCGACCCTGTACAGGGTTTCCTAGGCTGTAAATCTTTATGGGAGCAGAAAGCCTCATCTTTCTCCTGGTGGAACAGCTGGTAGTTTAGAACTGCTGACCTGGCAGTTCACAGCCTGATTCGTAACCACTACGCTACCAGAGCTTCTTAAATATAGCTTAGTCATACCTTTATTTCCTTTTGTCTGATCAATCTGACAGCAACAGATACTAATAATGTCTTTAAAAGATCCCCACTACATGTGATTTCTGCCCATTTCTCCTTGCATTTTTAATACCTTTAACTCCATCTCTTCCCACCCCATGTCCATTTCTTCTTTTTGGTAAATTTACAAGGTAAGGTTTCCCTGATAATTGAGGGCACTTTTATGTATTCCTTGGGGTACAGATTTTGTAATAGCTCCTCTTTTGAACTCCCCTAACCCTTTCTGTTTGTTCCTATTTTTGTTGTTGTTAGCTGTCATTCAGTCAGCCCCCAACTCATGGAGACCCGATGTTGCCCAGGTCAGACTATTCTGATATATTAAAGGGTTTTCTCTGGCTGAGTTTTGGCAGCAGTCTTTTCTTCCTACTCTTTCTTAGTCTGGAAGCTCTGCTGAACCTTGTTCCCCATCATAGCAATAGACAAGTCTTCACTGACAGATGGGTGGTAGTTCTCCATGAGGTGCTTTGACCAGGATTTGAACCCAGGTGTGCCCCATAGCAGGTGAGACTTCTACCCCTGAACCCACTGTTTCCTGTTATTCATTTTCAAACAAGAATGGTCTCTTATGACAGAAAAGTCAAATCTCTTGCCCACTTCCTTCTGCTCTCCCTCTATCTCGTTTCTTCAGTATGTTTAAAATCCTCATTAAAAAAAAAAAAAAAAAAAAAAATCCCCTGTAGAAAAACACTTTGTGGTGTATTTAAAAAAATTTTTTGCTTGTGATTTTGTTTTGTTTTGTTTTGAGAACAAAGAGGAACACCAATAACTGTAAATTATGTTTTCTCAACAGGCTCTGTCTTTAAATGTCAAGGAAGGTATTCACCAAGGTTTCCAGTTACTTCTTACCAAAGTTAACCAACCTGGCACTCAGTACGTGCTCAGAACTGCCAATGGGCTCTTTGCAGAAGAAACCTATGAAATCCTCTCAGTAAGTTGAATCAGTACTCAAATGCCTGCTTGACTTAGGCTGAGTTCTCTAGAGAAGCTTATATATATATAAGCTTCATTGGTTTTGCTTCTATTGAGAGTCTCGGTGTGGTGCTGTAAGATAAGCACTGGACTGCTAACTGCAAGATCAGTGGTTTAAAGCCACCAGTCACTCGTTGAGAATTCTATGTAAGGTCACTATGAGTTGGAACCAACCCAACGGCACTTACAACAATAATAGGTATAGATATTTATGGTGGTGCTTCTGGTTGTATGCCATGGAGTCGGTCCTGACTCATAGTGACCCTGCGTAGCATTTTCGAGACTGTAAATCTTTATGGGAGCTGAAAGCCTCATCTTTCTCCCGTGGAGTGGCAGGTCGATTTTGACTGTTGACCTTGTGATTAGCAGCCCAACTTGTAATCCACGACACTACCAGGAATCCTTATGGATATATATGTTGTTGTTGAATGCCGTTGAGTCGGTTCTGACTCATAGTAACCCTGAATAGGGTTTCCAAGGAGCAGCTGGTGGGTTTGAACTGCTAACCTTGTGGTTAGCCATCTAGTTGGCGCTTATCCTATAGCACCATAGAGAGAGTTACCTCAGGGAAATGATTCCCACAGTTGTAGAGGTGGGTAAGTTCCATGTCCCTGAGCCAGATGTCAGGTTGAAGTCTTCTTTGACATCAAAGGATCTGATGAACCCAAGATTGGCAGGTGAGATGGCAGATCATTGACAACTCCCGGGATCAACAGGCAATACAGCAGGCCATTGGTCAAGTCCAGAGAACCAGGTGATAAACCAGATGAAGGATCCAGACCCAGCAAAAAGTAAACAAGCTTTGCCCGAGTGCCCTGTATAGTAGAAGCAGGCCACACCCTTGAGGAAACATCCTTGCTCATGATTGGTTGCTCAGATATGGTTTCATCATTAAGGATTACTTTGACTTAATGGCCAAGCCACTGCAAATCCCAACTCAGGCAAGATTGCGATATAGTATCCGGGAGAAAGACCCAAGAGAACTAGAGAAACTTACGGTTTTAAAAAAATTAACTACAGTTCTATAGTTACTCCTTGAATTACAAATCCTGGCCAAGTCAAGATTGTGATATAGTATCCAAGAAAAAGACCCTAGAGAACTTGAGAAACTTAGGGGTTTTTTAAAAAAATTAACCACAATTGTGTAGTTATACCTTAAATTACTTAAAATTTGGCTACTTCTAAATTTTACTTATTGTGCTCTGGTTATTCATAGCAGAGTACACAGTATTTCTCTAACTGCTGATATTTTTATATCTGCTAGACTAAGACATGGCCACTTTGAAGAGATATGTAAGCTCTTTGTGATAAAAAGTATTGTTGCTCTTGCTAAGTGCTGTTGGGTCGGTTTCGACCCATAGCGACCCTGTGTAGGGTTTCCGAGGAGCAGCTGGTAAGCTTAAACTGATGACCTTGTGGCTCAAACCAACTATACAGACCAGCTCATTAACCCACAGCATCACACCAGGACTCCAGTAAAAAGCATAGGCATACAGAATTTTTAGAAGCTGGCTGGCATTTTATTTAGTAACACCGTATAACTGAACACTTTTCTTTCCAAAGACCTTTAAGGAATCGTGCCTTCGGTTCTACCAAGCTGAGTTGGAGATGCTCTCCTTTGTCCAAGCTGCAGAGACCTCCAGGAAACATATAAATGCTTGGGTCTCCAAAAAGACTGAAGGTCAGAATTAGGCGTTGCTTCTTCTCCTTCTCCACCTAGTGTATACGATGCTCAAGGGGACATTGGGTGGTGGGGCCCCATGGTATGTTTGAACCTTGGTGGACTCAGATTCAGCTCCTTGTCTTCAGCAACATAGACTTTATTTTCTCCATCCTCCCAGGACCAGAGTGACTGGTAAAACCTCAAAAGAAACCTTCTCATAGAGCAGATTTCAGTTTTACAGCTGAGCACTGAAAACGGATCCTTTCACGTGGTGTATACTGCTCTGTCAGGTTACTCCATTGTCTTGGAGGTGTACAGTTAGGGCTTCTTCTTTCGAAATTCTATGTGGGCCATCAACCCCATTTCCTTCATATGTTACATTACTTATTCTACTGCCTGCCACTCATGTCTTCCATTTGTTGTAGTTAAGTGCCATCGAGTCAGTTCGGACTCATAGTGACCCTGTATAGAGTTTCCGAGGAGCGGCTGATGAGCTTGAACCAATGACCCTGGGGTTCAACCCAACCTTGCAGTCCAGTGCATTAACCCACAGTGGCACACTCACTTAAGTTCCCTTCTTTAGACTTGAGCCTCTATAGGCCAACTGGAGTGCCTGGGTGGCTCAAGCAGTTAAACACTGACTACTAACGTAAAGGTTGGTGGTCCGAACCCACCCAGAGTTGTCCCAGAGGAAAGACCTGGTGATTTGCTTCTGAAAACCAATTTGTAGCGCCAGAGTCCAGCATGAGTCAGAATGGAATGGACACGAATGGGCTTGGTTTTGCTTTTGGTTTATTTATACGAACCCTCACTCCCAGGGCTCAGCAATTCCACAGACTGAAGATACCCTCCATTTGGGGTTCAGTCTGATTCACTTGTATTTCAGAGTGTGCTCTGCTCTGGCCTTGATCCCAAGTTCAGTGATAGTCTGATGTCTGAACTGTGCAGCCCTCTCCACATCGAAATACTCAGTGCTACTAGAAACATCCCTATTTCTGTTCATAAATAAGACAGTGAAGAACAAGAGATGGTGGGCATGTGCCACCGAGTCACAAAGTCACAGCGACCCTATGTAGGGTTTGTGAGGCTGTAAATCTTTATGGGAGCCGAAAGTCTCATCTTTCTCCTACAGAGCAGCTGGTAGATTCAAACTACTGAACTCGTGGTTAGCAGCCCTGGACATAATCAGTCTGTGCTTAAAGACTTCTTATTTCCCCATTTCTTGTTGTTGGAGGACGTAGAATATTTACCACTCACACGTTCTTAGAGCAGTGAGATTTCAGGGGTGTTCATAAACTACTGGAAAGATACAGCTTACTATCCAGGGGAAGGAGGAAGTATCTCACTTGTTCCACATTACCTTTCCCCAGGTGCTTCTTTAGAGCAGGGGGTTGTTGTTGTTAAGTGCCATAGCGACCCTGAGGAATGGCTGGTGAGCTTGAACTGCCGACCTGGCGGTTCAAACTGACTTTGAAGTCCAGTGTATTAACACTCAGTGCCACCCCAGGACTCCAGAGCAGGGATGAGGAACCTTTTATCTGCCAAAATTTATAGCACCATTCACAGGCCATACAAAATTATCAACTTAAAAGTTAGCCTGCTATATTTGGTCAGACAGTTCATTAACTCACCCATAATGGGATTCCTGGGGTGGTGCTGCCAGTTAATGCACTGGACTGCAAAGTCAGTTTGAACCACAAGGTCGGCAGTTCAAACTCACCAGCCACTCCTCAGAAATCCTATACAGGGTCACTATGAATGGGAACCTACTCAACAGCACTTAACAACAACAACAGCAACAATGTAATGTCTGGAACTGCAGTTGCCTTGGCGGATTCAGACCAATGATTTCTCAGGTCTTATATGGCCCTTAGGCTGGATGTTCCCCACCCCTGGGTTGTTGTTGTCAGGTGCCATCGAGTTGGAACCAACTCATAGCGACCCTATGCACAGCAGAACAAAACAATGTCCGATCCTGGGTCAACCTCACTACCGCTGCCACACTTGAGTCCATCAATGATGCCACCTGGCCAATCCATCTCATTAGGGGTCTTCCTCTTTTTCTCTGACCCTCCACCTTACCCAGCATGACATTCTTCTCCAGCGACTGTTTCCTCCGGACAATATGCCCAAAGTATGAGAGACGAAGCTTAGCCATCCTGGCCTCCAAGGAGCACTCTGGCTGCACTTCTTCCAAAACAGATCTATTGGTTCTTTTGGCAGTCCATGGCACTTTTAGTATTCTCCTCGAACACCACAACTCAAAGGCATCAATTCTTCTACAATCTTCCTTATTCACTATCCAGCTTTCACATCCATCCTGGGTTAGAGGACGCTATAGTAATGTCTCTTCCAGAGTCAACCAGAAGGTCCTCTTGTGGCTGTCGTACACATTACCAGATCCCTCGTTGGCATGCCATTCTTTCGGGCTTCCTCTGAAGGAATCTTGATGTAATCTTGACGTATTGGTTCCGAAACCCTCCTTAAACACAGAAGATGGCCAAGGCCCTTCCAGTCGTCTCCTTGCTCTTTGCTTGTCTTGTTCCCCAATCAGGCGTAGTGGTTTTGCTTTCTACTATCCTGCATTCTTCAAGTTATTGAAGTCTTTCATTGTTTTCAACTTCATGGATGTTCCCCAAGTGTTGCTGATCAGGAATACCAATTGTATGTGTTGTGTTTTATTTCTGTACATAACAAACCAAATTCAGAAAACCTGAAGAAAAAATGTTTTTGACTAATCGTCAAGTATCTGTCATTATGGTTTATTACAATTTTATTTACCATGTTTTAATGAAAACCAACCAAATGTACCCACTTTCCTTGAAAGGTAAAATTCCAGAGTTGTTGCCTTGTAACTCCATTGATCCACAAACCCGGCTGGTTCTTGTTAATGCTGTCTACTTCAAAGGAAAGTGGAACGAAGAGTTTGATAAAACGTGCACAACGGAAATGCCTTTTAAAATAAACCAGGTAGGGAGAATCTTTCAAAATCTTGCTAGTTTGATGAAGAGAGTGAATGGAAAAATTATTATACTGGCTAAAAACAATTGTTTGTGCGTAAGGTATTACTGAGTGAATTTTCACACTCATTAGAAAAAAATGAAAGGAATGAAAAGTATTTGCTCCTTGTGATTTTTTTGTATTGAATTACTGCTCCTCACTGCCTCCTGTAATGTCTCACACATTCATTGCTGCCACCTGGTTCTGGACGTTTCAGGTTTTCCTTTTAGACCAAATTGCTTAGATAGCAAAAACCAGGTTTTAAGTTAGTGTTATATGTGTTTGTGGTGGGGTTGGGGCACAAAGGAAAGAGGGAGGGAATGTAAAAACACATTTCTGGAATCAGGTATTGAAAATATTGAATTATTACTTACTTTTCTCAGTATTAATTCAGTATTTACTATTTTCTAATATTAACATCAAGTGATAAAGACCTTGGTTTTGACAATGAAGTATAACTTCACTTGAGGCAGACCTTACAATTGTTTGCCCTGACCCTCAAACCCTGAGAAGGTATTATATTTAATTAAATATATAATATATTAAATATGAAATATATATATATTTAAAATAATCCTCTTTTTACAAAAGGGTCAGGGGGAGAAGTTCTCTAATATAGATTTTTAAACATATATTTTTTAAAAAAATAGATGTTCTATATCCGTGTTTAAAAATTAATAAGCACAACACTATTTTCTACAATAAAAAAATGCAGTTGTTGTAACAACAACTGCATTTTTTTATTGGAGCACTGGTGTGGTGCTGTGGGCTAATGCATTGGACTGCAAAGTCAGTTTGAACGACAAGGGTGGTGGTTCAAGATCAACAGCTGCTTCTTAGAAACCCTATACAGGGTCGCTATGGGTTAGAACCAACTCAATGGCACTTAACAACAACAACAACTGTATTCTTTATTTCCTTGGGTTCGAGTTCCAGAATTGCAGTAATTGGATTAAAATGCCTGGAAATATATATACCTCTTCCCAAGAAGGTTCACCCATTTATACCCCTTGTCAGAGTGTGAAGCTGCCAGTTCATCTCACCTTCATCAGCAGAACTATTCATAAACAGAAATATTTTTATTTAATTGTATTTGGTTGTATTATTTGCTTACAGGTATTTACTGGGTATGGTAAAGATTCTGCTGCCACCCTCTCAGGAGTCCACACCTTTTGTTTTGCTGAGGAAAACATCTGGCCAGGCTCCTGTATAGGCTTATGATGATCAATGCCTTTCAATGGTGACAGGGAGGGGTGGGTTGACATTTATATGTTAATTGGAGCCTGGGGGCAGCAGTGGTGGCGCAGTGGAAGAATTCTTACCTTCCAGCTGGAGACCTAATTCTCTTCCTGCCAGTGTACCTAGGGGCAGCAGCACCTCTCTGTGGAAGTGTGTGTACTTACTGTGGAGTGGAACGGATTTCAGAGGAGCTTCCAGACTAAGCTGGACTAGGCAGATGACCTAGAGATGTGAAAACCAGCCAATGAAAACCCTTTGAGTCACAGTGTTGCCATGAGTTGAGGTTGACCTGAAGGCAGCTAATAGGGACAGTAATTACGGCAGGAGTGTTGTTTCTATTGTGGATGCTGATGTTATTGTTAAGTGCTGTCAAGTTGGTTCCGACCCATAGCGACCCTGTATAGGGTTTCTGAGGAGAGGCTGGTGAGCTTGAACCTCCAACCTTGTGTTTCAAACTGATTTTGCAATCCAACGCATTAACCCACAGCACCACCCCAGGACTCCCCTTAAGTCAGCTGCCGCTCTCTCAGGAACTGTGCTATGTTCATCTGTTCATTCCCATTAGAAGGAACAAAAGCCTGTGCAGATGATGTTTCAGGAAGCGACGTTTAACATCACCTACATAAAAGAAGTGCAGGCCCAGGTTCTAGAGCTGCCCTACGCTGGGAAAAACCTAAGCATGCTCATTCTGCTTCCCGATGACAATGTGGATCTAAGCACGGTGAGACTACGGTTAGAATGCCTAAAACGCCCCTTCTTAATTTCTGCTGGAGGAGCCCAATGGCACTCTTATGCCTTTAGTAGGATAGAACTTGAGCACAACTTTCCTCTTTGATATCTACCTTTCAAGTTGGTGATGTGGGCAGCCCCAGCTACAAAGTACAGACCCACATGATCAGACACATGGGCTTTGACCTCACACTTTTACCCAAGACCTCCTTCTCCTGTGATTGTCCGTGTGACTTTGCCAAATGATTTAGCCATCCCAGACTCTGTTTGCTCTTCTCTGCAGTGGGGGTATTGATGATGTCTACAATTATCCAAAAGCACACTTTCTGACACTTAGTAAGCCCCTTATAAACATCATTCATTATTATCATCATCAAAATCATTGGCATTAGCAATACTGTTTTGAAACCTAAGGACTTTGTTGCTATTTAGAACCTGAAATACTGAATGAATTTGTCTTATCCTTTGACCTAATGAGGGCGGGTGGGCAGAGAAGGAGAGGGAGGGGCCAGCACATTGCTAGGAATGCTACCAGAACAACCTGCTATCGACGTCCCATTTTGGGACCAGAATGGGAGGAGCATTTCTAGGTTCAGGAACTAGATGAAAGGCAGCGCTGTCTGGAATATTAAGGCAATAGTGTGATGGAAGCCACGCCATTCATTTTCACCCATTGGTCCAGTTCCCCAACTGTAACATCTCTCCTCCAGAATTAATCCTCCCCTTGGTCAAATTTCTCTTCTGCTTTAGGCCGTATTGAGAGGGGTTTTCTGTTGTTGTTTCTTTTTTTCTTTTCCAGTTGTTTTTCTCAGCAGAATTGGTTTGTTTTCAAAACATCAATAAGAAGCATTTTGTTGTTAGGTGCCAAGGAGTTGGTTCCGACTCATAGCAACTCTTTGCATAACAGAACGTAACACTGCCCGGGCCTGTGGCTTCCTCACAATCCAATTACATAAAAATAAGCATAGTTTAAAACAACAACAAGTATTGACGACTGATTGTCAGTCTGAAAGATCTCTTAGAGAAATTGAGCCTCTGACTGTTATTGTCTTCCCAACTTGGCATGCAGTCATGTATGTAAAATGTATGATACACGATACAAGTTCCCAAACACTGAGTTTCCTGGCAAAGAGGTGCCCCTGGTCCTGTTTGAACAATCTCTTGGACAATCAGCACCATCTGAAGAGAGAGAGACAGTAGGTGTGTGCTAGTACACATGCAGCTGCCCATTAAAGTCTTTTTCTGGTCTTTCAGGTGGAAAGGAATCTTACTTTTGAGAAATTCGTAGCCTGGACTAAGCCAGAGTGTATGAGCAGCACTGAAGTTGAAGTCCTCCTTCCAAGGTTTACACTGGAAGAGGATTATGACATGGTATCCATGCTTCAAAGTTTGGGGGTAGTTGATGCCTTCCAACAGGGCAGGGCTGACTTTTCGGCCATGTCAGTCAAGGCAGACCTGGCCCTGTCCGTGTTTGTTCACAAGTCCTGTGTGGAGGTCAATGAGCAGGGCACAGAGGCAGCTGCTGCCTCTTCAGCCATGGTGATTATGGAGTGCTGTGTTGAGGATGGACCCCGGTTCTGTGCAGACCACCCCTTCCTTTTCTTCATCAGGCACAATGCAACCAACAGCATCCTGTTCTGTGGTAGGTTTTCATCTCCATGAGGGAACAGATGCCATGAGCTTGTCCTCTTTCTGTGTGCCCCAGCCCCACTCTGAAGCCCAGGGCAGAGATGAGGGCAGACACCTTATCAGCACCCTCTTATTGTGCCCCCACTCTGTTCCCCATACCGACTTGTCTGATTTAATCATAGTAAGATCAGGGATAGTCTATCTTGATGACTCCCTATCCCATTTAGGAGGCCGAGAACGCACAGAGCTTTCCTGTGTGCCCCAATGAACAGTAAAGCTTGTTCTTTACCCATTCAACGTATAGTTCATTCTAGCTCCTCTACTCATACTTCACCTCAGACCTGGTCACACACTTGCCTTGCTATGCCGGTAATAAATGTTGTTAGATATTACTATTTTGTACTTGTTCTTGGACTTTTTTAAAATCTACTTTTCTTTTATGCTTTTTCTACATTCTCTAATCATGTGCTATGTGTCAAACACTGCACTAGGCACTGGAACCTACCCTTTGACACTTAGCTTTAGTGTCCACCATCTTGGACTCTTTGATGCCAATAGTATGTTATCTTCTCCATGCCTCTGCATTTCTCCACACCACATCCAATTCCAACAGTGAAATTGGAACACTCAACAACATTCAACCCTTAAAGTACGTTTCAAAGCCCATCTTTTCTGAGAAATGTTTCTTCCTCTCCATAACCAGAGATACACCCTTGACCTTTCATTGTGCATTGAGGACACTCTCTTTGGGTAGTTACTGTGTGACTAATCATCCGTGTTCTTGTCCAGTCCTCCTGCTGGCTTACAAGCTCATGGAGTGCTGGGCTATATCTGACACATTTCTGTATCACTGACAGTGTGAGGAGAAGCGAGTTCTTCAGAGACAAACTCTGTAACTGATTTTGGATGGAAAAGAGTATGGGAATAAAAAGGAATACTAGATCTAAACAAGCTGTGTAAGACCGAAAATTACTCAATTTGGGTGTATCAGATCCCTTCTATGAAAAGCACTGTCACTAAGCTGTGACACAATTAGATATATGCACATGCATGTTCATCGTAGCAGTGTTCATGATGACAGCAAAAACATGGAGACAACCTAAATGCCCTTAAATAGAAGAATGGATAAACTATGGTGTATACACACAATGGAATACTATTAAATAGAATATGTTACAGAATAGTGAAACTCCTCAGGAGATGGATGAACCTGCAGGACATTTGCTGAATGAAATCAGTTAATCACAAGAGCACAAATATTATATAAGACCACTGTCACAAAAAGTCAAGAAAATGCTTTCACACTAAAACAGTTTTTGATGGTTATCAGGGATGGAAAGGCATATGGGAGGAAAATTACTAGCTAGAGGGTTGTTGATGTTGTTGTTATTAAGTGCTGTTAACATGTTTCTGACTTATAACGACACTGAGGGTCTGGTGGGTTTGAGGCACCAACCTTGTGGTTAGCAGGCCAGTTCTAATCCTACCACAGCCCACCAGGCTAAAAGCCACATACATATTAACTTGGGTGACAAGGAAGGCAGTATACAATAAGACAGCGGCTGGCAAAAAGAAAAAAAAAAAAAGATGGAAATGGACATGAGAAGATACTTGGAGGAATGCAAACATTAACAGCAATGGATAAGTACTGTTAAAACACCATATTTTGTAATACTGATGGTCTTCAAGTAGATACATGGATAGATACACAGACTAGATGAGTATGGGAGAGTGGGAGTATACTCACTAGTAAATATAGGTTTGATGGAGGGCATTTGTACTTGGGTAAGCCTATAGTCACCAGAAGAAAAGAAATAGTAAAGATCAGAGCAGAAATAAATAAATTACAAAAATAAAAACAATAGAAAGACTCAGCAAGACAAGAATCTGGTTCTTTGAAAGGATTAATAAAATTGGCAAATATAACAAAAGAAAAGAGGGAGAAGACACAAATAACATGCGTAAGAAAAAATATGGGTGATGTCACAACAGAACCAATGGAAATAAAAAGGACAAAAACAGTATTATGTGATTGGGACATACTAAAAATTAAAAACTTATGTGTATCAAAAGACTTCACCAGAAGAGTAAAAAGGAAACCCACAGAATGGGAAAAAATCTTTGCAATGACACATCAGACAAGGGACTCATTTCTAAAATATATAGGAAACTACAATACCTCTACAAGAAAAAGACAAATAACCCAATTAAAAAATGGGCACAGACATGAACAGACACTTCACCAAGGAGGAGATCTGGGCATCCAACAAACATATGAAGAAATGTTCACGATCACTAGCCATCAGAGAGACGCAAATCAAAACAAAAATGAGATATCATCTCACAACTACAGTAACAGCAAAGATCAAAAAAGTAGAGGACAATAAATGCTGGTGAGGATGTGGGGAGACTGGGACGCTTCTGCACTGCTGGTGAGATTGCAAAATGATCCAACTTCTCTGGAAAGCAATATGGTACTTCCTCAGAAGGTTGGAAATAAAAATACCTTATGATGCAGCCATAGCATGAGTAGATATATGCATACCAATGTTCATAGCAGCATTATTTACAATAGCAAAAAGATGGAGTCAGCCTAAGTGCCCATCAACTGAAGAATGGATAAACAAACTGTGGTACATACACACAATGGAGTATTATGCTGCCTTGAAAAATAAGAAGGAAGCTGCAAGCCACCACATAACATGGATGAACATTGAGGACATTATGTTGAGTGAAATTAGTTAGTCACAAAAGGAGAAATACTGCACAGGACTAGTACTGTAAAAGACTAAGAAAAATAACCCAGGAGGAAGGGGGATTCTTTGCTGGTTATCAGGATGTGGGGGGTGGGGTGAGGGTAAGGAGAGGAAGGTGGAACACAGGGTAGGGAATAGACACAGGATAGTTTGGGTGCTAGGGAGGGGCAACACACAGAAGGGGGAGGGGAATGGAAGAACAAGGCAGATGGGAAAATAATTAGGCAGGTTTGCATGGGCTAAGTGGGACAGAGGTAAATAATGATGTATACACAACCTTGGGACAATAGGGCTCTGGGATACAGGACTTGAGACATGGTTGGAATGGGCAAAAAGGAAGAAATAATGCAAAGATGCGTGGCTGTCCTTTGAATCTTGGTTTCCCTGGCATACCATTATAAAATAGACACTTGAGGGGAAGAGAAAGGAATAGCCAGAAATATCACCATAGAAAGCTTGTAAGTCCATCTTCTGCATATAACGGATCGGAATACCTAAAATGGGACTACAATGTGCCCAGTGAAGGAGGCTTCCTGTGGAGCCTCTGCATTACATAATACCACAGGTGGAATCCTGAATTCCATCCAGAATCTTCTGAGGTGGGAAATTTCCACTTGAAAGGACAAGCAGACCAGCCTTGAGTGGCTAGAAGAACAGAAGATACTTCTTGAAAGAAAGACCAACAAGAAAATTGTTGTTGTTGTTATGTGCTGTGGAGTCAGTTCCGACTCATAGCAACCCTGTACAGGATTTCCGAGGCTGTAAGACTTTACGGGAGCAGAAAGCCTCATCTTTCTCCCGCGTAACAGCTGGTAGTTTCAAACTGCTGACCTTGCGGTTCACAGTCCTATTCTTAACCACTATGCTACCAGAGCTCACGGCAGTCCGACTGATTATTACAAGAACAAGTAAGTTGATCGCCCAACAGACATCAAGGCAAGTGGTCAGGTCCCCTCAGGGCAAACCCCTTCCAAGAGTGAGACTCAATGGGAATACACGAGCAGGCATGGGCTCTGATTGGTGACCACATTTGTCATCGATAAGGGGAAGTGAGGGAAAAATGGTAATGAAGCTGTACGCTAAGCCCTACAACATTCCATAGACTCCTGTGAACACAAGTGGGGACCTGGTTGGCCAGCAGTGTGGCAAGACCTGGGGACACTTGGGCCTAGAGTCAGTGACATAGCCACAGAGGACTAGAGTGGAGAGTGAAGCATCCAGCTAATAAGAAGAAAGGGCATATGCATAAGAACACCCACACTTGCAGATAATACCCACTTGATCTGGCTTTAATGGCTGGATGATCAGAGCTCAACTAGAAGAAGAAAGAAGAGGAAATAAAGAGTAATCTGATACAATTTGATGAACTTGACCTACACCTATGGATGCAATAGTTCAAAAGAGGGAACAAATCTTTACAGTGAGGATCATTCCTACCCCCTCCATACACAGAGTAGACAGGGATGGGCAACTTGGACATTGGCTATCCAAAAGGGGGGTGGGGGGAAGGAACTACAAAGGCAAGAAGTGACTGGCTTACAAGCTTTCAAGAGGGAGCCTAGATCCAGAGGCATGGAGGAAGGTAGAATCTCCACTGAGTAGTATCCAATCTGTCTGGATGGGGCTGAAGAAAGGAGATGGGGATAGGTCTCTTGTGGTACAATAGTGAATAATTGTTATCAGGACTGATTGTGAGGTTTGGAAATGTAAAGGTAGACATTTTGTAGCAAAAGGAGGGGAGTGATTGACTTTGCAGTCTAGGAGTGAAGGTTCCTGGGACCATCAAGGAAGAAGAGCAGATTGCGGGACCCTACCCAGAGAAGCAGTGACACTAGAGATGGAGGCAGAGAGGATGATGTGGAGAGATGTTGCTGCTGGGAACTCTAGACCCAGAGAGGGAGAGGGACTGTGTGTTGACGACCGGGGTGCAGGTTTGCAGGGTATACCCTTTGGTTGGTTGATGATACATGGAGGGGATTGTTACCATGGCAATGAAACGATATACAATAGGATGAATGTAAAGCTAATGTTCTCCCATGTAAACTATCACATAATTCACAATAAAACATTTTTTAAAAACCAATATTATGAAGACTTGTATTTCAATAAATTTGAAAATCTGGAAAAAATGGATAGATTTCTAGAAAAATACAACTTACCTAAACTCATACA